TAAGCGGGGTCAGGAAAACGACCCTTTTTAGCGTATAATGTTTTAACAACAGTCATTCATCCAGGGCGACTTTGCATTTAGTAAAATTGTTGACGAAAAAATGGGGCGGCGTAAGGAAAAAAAAAAAACTAAGGGGGGTGTATACCAAATAAAATGCGGAGGGACCTTTAGAAAATTTTTTTTATTAGCATGTTCTAGGGGTTCCACAGGATCTAACTACAAAAATAAATTGACTCATGCATCAGCAACCACTTTAAATTCACAGCTGATTGGATGAAGTTTTCTTGGTATCTTTTGCTGAAATGGTCTTTTGTCAATTTTATCATCTATTGACACATTGATTCATCGATACAGAGAAAACTACCAGGTGTAATAGCTTCAGAAAGGTTTTTATTAAATGCATTATGAAATTGTCAAAAAAGACAAAAAGGATCATTATAATCTATTGATACATCTGTTAATATTAAAAACTTGATAATATCTCTAAAATGTCAATGTAGAAAATTTTGAAAATATGGAAGTTGATGTTCTTGCGGGTAATTTGAGATATGAAAAACCAGACGATAAAGAATTACCACCAAATGTTGAATTACCAATAGTCCCTACGGAATTGTCTGATGATAGTGACAGCAGTATAGAAGAGGATGATGACGATGTTAACGAAGAAAATAATAATATAAGTCAATCAAGTGGTCCTTCTACTACAGTAAACTGGAAAGAACAATTTGTAACTATTGACCAGCGTGAAATTAATCCATCATATAATCAGGATTGTAGTGTTAATATCGAATCTGTTGGTCTAGCCTCGCCATTTAATTTGCTGTGTCATTATCTTCCGGTTAATTATATTAAACAGCATGTGATTAATTCTATTAACATACATGGGCGGGAAACTTCAAACTGGGTTGATGTAAATTTTGACGAATATATGAGATGGTTAGGTTTATGGGTGTTGATGTCTGCCTTTTCTGTGGCTGATCGTCGTTTTTATTGGAGAACAACACAAGAGATTACAAAGCCAATGGATTCTTTTAATTTTCAACGTTGGATGTCGCTTTCGCGATTTGAACAAATAGTATCATGTCATACCTTAATGATGGCATGTGAACTAAAGACACCAAATCTTAGTGATCCATTGTATCCT